CTTGTTCTCTCTCTCTCTCTCAAAATAAATAAATATATAAACATTGAAAAATTTTAGACATAGTTGAAAGTGGATGACTTAAATCAATTGCCGAACATTTATTTTCTTTCTAAAATTCAAACTTAGATTCTCATGGCAATAGAACGTGTCCCAATCTGCAAATTGGGACAACTACAGGTTTGGATCTAACTTCTTTCATGTCAATCTAAACAAACTACCCTTTTTGTCTTCTGCGCTGGCAAAGCCCAGGATTGTGTTTCCAAACCTGCTATTAATGATCATCAGCAATGAAAATAACTACAGGGGATTAAACAGGCTTCCCAATCAAGCTTCACTGGTCATTCCAACCACCTTCTACTGCCCCTGTGCGTGACTCACGGCTCTGGTCATGCTGAGCTACTCTCCAGTACTTTAAGCCATGTGCATCCCTTCTATTTTCTTTCCTTGGCCTCGTCCTGGGCCTGTCTGCCCTAAAAGAAGGCTCTATACTCTTCTCACCATCCAAAAACTGTCTTTCCATTTTTCAAAGATGAAAAGAGGTGTCCCCTCCTTCTTGAAGCCTCCTTTGACCCTGCAAGTTCACAGTCTTCCCTTCTTAAAGGACAAGGACTCTCCTTGAGTGAGGTGGGGGAAGGGAGACCCTTCACTATCTCATCATCTGTAAATCTTAGCTATTGCAGGAGCATTCCAACGGACCATCCAGTCGTGAAATCACTTTCTTTTGAAATTCACTCTGAGATCTACCAGAGTTCTCATTGTAAAATAAATTCAATCATGGCCCTCTCCTGCTTAAAATCTTCTAGAATTCTAAATTCTAGAGTGATGAAAGATCTAAAACTCAGGCTCCAGAAACATGGCACACTGAGCTAATGCAAACCTTACTCCCAACTGTACAACATTGTCACAACCACATGAAATTTTAGATAAAAGATGGCAAAAATTGGGGCACCTGGGTGGCTCAGTTGGTTAAACATCTGACTTCACCCAGGTTATGATCTCATGGTTCATGAGTTTGAGCCCCATGTAGGGCTCTGTGCTGACAGCCCAGAGCCTGGAGCCTGCTTCAGATTCTGTGTCTCCCTCTCTCTCTTGCCCCTCTCCAGCTTACACTCTGTCTCTCTCTCTCTCAAAAAATGAATAAACATTTAAAAAAATGTTTAAAAAGATGGCAAAAATTATTTGAAAGGCATAGATGTGCTCAAAAGCTCCAGGTGTCAGAGTAGTAAACTTATAACTTGAGTCTCAGATATGGGGTGAGGGCAGGAATTAGATCTGGATGCGGGCCCCAAAGACTAGGAATGGGATTTTAACACTCAAGCAAGGGCAGGAGATGTGGTGTTGGGCCCACAGGAAGCACGGAGTTGAACTGAGACCCTTAAACAAACAGAGAGCCTGGATGATCTGTCCTTTCATTAAAGAGGGGCTAAAAAATTCTCCCTACTTTTCCAAGAAAGCAGCAGTAAAGTGAGCTCTGCCAAGGGTCCTGGGAAAACATCTCCGATGAATTATGGAGGCTCCAAACCTGCAGCATTCAGGAGTTGAAATTTATAATGCCTCCATTATGTGGAAATTTCCAAGCTAAACTTTTAGTATGAAAATTAGTCCCAGGCTGGTGAAATTTCTAGTTCCTTAGAAGAAGAAAAGATAAACTATACTTCAGGGATAGTTTCTTAATTGAAAATACAAGTGACTTCCTTAAAAGAAAAAAATCCTAAATAAATGAGCTCACAAACAAAAATTATAAAACACAAGAGAAAACAACTCACCACAGACACATCAAATAGAAAGATTAGCAAGAACTTGAGATAATAGTAGAATTGGAAAGGAGTGATAAAATAAAGGTGTTTAAAATTGTGTTTTAAAATGTGTAGAAACCATCACTAAAAACTAGGACAAGATCCAAATAGTTCCTCCAAAAATGAAAGAAATATTTCAATTTTTGAAATTTAAAATCCAGTGGGTAGATTAACTGGAGATGTTGGACAGAGCCAAAAAAAGTCTTGTACCTTCAAGAAATTTCCCAGAACTACAACATAGAGAAAGGATTGGAAAAGTGAAAAGGGGGTGAAGATACTTGGAAGATAACCAAAAAGGTCTAACATATATCAGTTTTTGTCACCTAAGAAACCACTCTGTGCTGGTTATTGATTCATTGCCTCTCAGCTCCAAATTCATACTTTTCGCTAGTTCCATGAAAATGGATCTGGGCCCTTTAAATATATATTTTTTAAGTTTATTCATTTATTTTGAGAGAGAGAGTGCCATCAGGGGAGGGGCAGAGAGAAGGGGAGAGAAAGAGAATTCCAAGCAGGCTCCATGCTGTCAGCACAGAGCCCAAGTTGGGGCTCAAATTCATGAACCATGAGATCATGATCATGAAGTGAGGTTTATCCACACTTGAATTCCAGGAATACAAGTTTGGTTTCATATTTGAAAAATTAATGCAGAAGAGGACACTTGTAGGGATGAGCACTGGGTGTTGTTTGTAAGCTAACTTGACAATAAATTATATTTATAAAAAATAAATAATTTTTAAAAAGAAAAAAAAGAAAAGTTAATGCAATTCACCATATCAACAGACTGAAAAAGTAAAAATATGATCATATCAATAGATGCAAAAGAAAAACCCATTTGATATAATTCAATACCTATTTATAACTTAAAAAATCAATTTTCAACAAATGAGAAACAGAAGGGACTTCCCCAGTCTGATAAAGAGCATCTGTGAAAAACCTGTAGCTGGCATCATATTTCATGGTGAAGGAATGAAAGCTTTCTATCTAGGATAGTGAACAAGACATGTATATCTACACTCATTGTTTCTAGTCATCATTGTTTCGGAGGGCCTACACAGCATGATAATGTAGGAAAAAGAAACAAAGGACACACAGATTAGCAAGGAATAAATAAAACTGCTCTTCTTCACAGACAGCATTGTTTAATACAGAAAATGTGGAGGAATCTTTTAAAATATTCTAGAACTCATAAGTGAATTTCACAAGGTTGTAAGATATAAGGCCAACCAACAAAAATCATTTATATTTCTAGATAAATGAATAACTGAAGGATAAAATTAAAAACACTTTATTTGCAATAGCATCAAAAAAACCCCTAGGAATGGGGTGCCTGGGTGGCTCAGTCAGTTAGGCTTCTGACTCTTGGGTCAGGTCATGATCTCACTGTTTGTTTGTTTGAGCCCGTACTGGGCTCTGCGATGACAGCAAGGAGGCTGCTTGGGATTCTCTCTCCCTCTCTCTCTGCCCCTTCCCTACTCATCCCCCTCCCTCAAAATAACTAAATAAAAAAAAAAAACAAAAAACAAACAAACAACAAAAAAAAACCACACCTAGGAATGAATTTAATAAACAATGTGTAAGACCTAAATATGGAACATTGTAAAACATTCTGAAAGAAATTAAAGAGAGCCTAACTAAATGGGGAGATTCATCATTCTTCTGTTGGAAGACATAAGATTGAGATGGCAATTCTGCTTTAACTGATTAGTCTGTAGATTTAAACAATCACAATCACTGTCACGATCCCAGAATTTGTTTCTTGTAGAAATCAACCACAGTTCTCAACTCTATCTGAAAATATGAAGAACCTAGGATAGACAAAAGTTTTTAAAAAGAAGGCTGTTATAGGGCATATATAACCTGATTTCAAAACTTTACATTCACGGACAATATTCAAGATAATGTGCTATTGGTGGATGAGACAGACAGACCAATGCAATAGACTAGACAGCCCAGGAATTGACCCCATCATTCTTTGCTCAATTGACTTGCAGCAAAGTTGCCAAAGCAAGTCAGTGGAGAAGAGAGCCCCTTCAGCCACTAATGCCTGTACAACTGGCTGTCCAGACACAAGAAAGTTGAATGTCAATCTTTAGCCCACACCATACCTAAAAGTTAGCTCAAAATGCAGCATGGATCTAAATATAAAAGTTACAGTCATAAAGCAAATTGGAGAACCTTTGTGCTCTTGTGGTAAGCAAAGATTTCTTAGGCAGGACCCAAACCTTTATAAAAGACAGACATCATTGTCTAATACAGAAAATGTAGAGGAATCTTTTAAAATATTCCAGAACGAAAATATAAAAAGAAAAGAAAAAATATCAGACTTTGAAATTAAAACATTTTCCTCTTTGAAGATAACATTAAAAATGAAAAGGCAAAAAAAAAAAGTATGAAAAAGCAAGATGCAGACTAGGAAAATATATTTATAAAACTACATCTGTTAAAGAACTTGTATCTGGGCACCTGGGGGGTGGCTCAGTAGCTCATGATCTCATGGTTGGTGGGTTCAAGCCCCACATTGGGCTCTGTGCTTGGGATTCTCTCTCTGCCCCTACCCCACTTGCACACATGCTCTCTCTCTCTCTCTTCAAAATAAATAAATAAACTTTTAAAAAAAGAACTTGTATCCAAAATAGATTGAGAATCTTGCCACTAAATGATAAGACAAACAAGCGAATTTTAAAATGGGCAAAATAGGGGCGTCTGGGTGGCTCAGTTGGCTAAACGTCCGACTTTGGCTCAGGTCATGATCTCACCGCTCATGGGTTCGAGCCCCGCGTCGGGCTCTGTGCCGACAGCCAGCTCAGAGCCTGGAGCCTGTTTTGGATTCTGCGTCTCCCTCTCTCTCTGGCCCTCCCCTGTTCACGCTGTCTCTCTCTCTGAGAAATAAATAAAACTTCAGAAAAATAATAAAAAAAAATAAAATAAAATAAAATGGGCAAAATATTTGAACAGACACTTCATACAGATGAACTCAACATCACTAGGTATCAGGATCACGCAAATTAGAATAATGAGGTACAACTACCTACCCGCTAGAATGATGAAAACAAAAAGGATGGACAGTGCTGTGTCGGTGAGCTACTGAAGCATCTGTGTTGGGGAGGGAAAATGATACAGCCGTTACAGAAAAACATTTATGTCAGTTTCTTGTAAAGTTAAACATACACTGATCATATGCTCACTCGATTCCATTTCTAGGTATATCTCCTAGAGAAATAAAAGGTATGTCTGAAAAAGGAGTAGGGTGTAATGTCCATCACAACACCGTTCATTAGAGCCTCACACTGGAAGCAGCCCGAATGTTTATCGACTAGAGAACAGATAAATCACTCTGTGTCTGTGTGAAGGAATACTACTTGGCAATAAAGAAGAATGACAGCTAACGTGAGTGAATTTCAAAAACCTCATGCTGAGCTAAAGAAGTAGCCATAGAAGACTATAACTGTAGTACTGTTTCATTTATATGTCATTTTATGAACGGCAAAAATATAGTAACAAAACGTGGGTTTCCTGGGACCAGGATAAGGGAGAGGAAATGTCACCATATAGGATCTAAATGATACTGCTCCTTAACCCTTTACTTACTGTGTTGTGATCATTTGCTTATGGGTACTTTCTCCACTGATTTATGAATTCAACAGCAGACACCTGTGGCCTTGGTCTTTTTTTTCCCCCCCAGTCTCTCATGCTGAAGGAATTCCATAAATGCTTATTGAATAGTGATTGATGTGAATCTGGCAGAGCTCAGTTTAAAATTTTTTAATGTTTATTTTAGAGAGAGAGGGAGATAGAGAGGGGGGGGGCATGCTGGGCAGAGGCAGAGAGAGACATAGAAGTGGAAGGAAGCAGGCTCCAGGCTCCAGCTCTCAGCACAGAGCCTCACACAGGGCTCAAATTGTGAGATCCTGACTGAGCCTGAATCTAACCCTTAACTGACTGAGCCACTCAGGGATCCCCAAGCTATAGTTTTAAGTGAGCTTTGTCAAGGACCCCTGGGGGGTTCAGTTGGTTAAGCATCTGACTTCAGCTCAGTTCATGAACTTACAGTTTGTGAGTTCGAGCCCCATGTCAGGCTCTGTGCTTACAGCTTGGAGTCTAGAGCCTTCTTGAGGTTCTGTGTCTGCCTCTCCCTCTTCCCCTCTCCTGTTTGCACTCTGTCTCTCTCAAAAATAAATAAACATTTTTATGAGGCACCTGGGTGGCTCAGTCGGTTAAGCATCTGACTTCAGCTCAGGTCAGGTCATAATCTCACAGTTCTTGGGTTCGAGCCCTGCATCAGGCTCTCTCTCTGACCCTTCCCTGCTCACATTGTCTCTCTCTCAATCTCTGTCTCTAAAAAAAAAAAAAAACATTAATTAAGAAAATAAACATTTCTAAAAAATTTAACTATAGCTTGATACCACTTTTTTTTTTTAATGTTTTATTTATTTCAGAGAGAGAGAGAGAGAGAGACAGCATGAGCAGAGGAGGGTCAGAGAGAGAGGGAGATACAGAATCTGAAACAGGCTCCAGGCTCTGAGCTGGCAGTCAGCACAGAGCCCGACACGGGGCTCAAACCCATGAACCGCAAGATCATGACCTGAGCCGGTCAGACGCTTAACTGACTGAGCCACCCAGGCGCCCCAGCTTGATACCACTTTTAAGGAATGGCCATATACTGGTTCTTATCTTTCCTTTCTCCTTATTTATGGAGTAAAAGAATTACCTTTCTTAAATTTTTAAATATACATTTAGGGGCACCTGGGTGGCTCAGCTGGTTAAGTGTCTCACTCTCAGTTTCAGCTCAGGTCCTGATCTCTTGGTTTCATGAGTTCAAGCTCCGAGTAGGGCTCTGTGCTGACAGTGCAGAGACTGCTTGAGATTTTCTCTCTCTCTTTCTCTCTCTGCCCCTCCCCCATTCATGCTGTCTCTGTCTCTCTCAAAATAAATACACTTTTTAAAAAAAGATACATTTAACACCAACCACATTCCATAACACACAAAAAAGAAAAGCAGTTTCCTTGGAATGACAACTAGTCAAGATGCCTCAGCCTGAATATCAGTTTGCATCCGCATAATCTCAGGAGGGCCCTCCTGCATTCCCCAAGAGACCTGCACATTTGGGGTCCCTAATGCAGTCTGTGCTAGAGCCCCCATCGGGAACCTCCCCGCTCTCATCTGGAAGCTTACAATACTGGATAGTTGCATAAAGTTCTACTTATACAATTCAATTAACTATAATAAACTTATTAACTAAAAAGCATAATTGGAGGGCACCTGAATGGCTCAGTCAGTTAAGCGCCCGACTTCGGCTCAGGTCATGATCTCATGGTTTGTGAGCTGAAGCCTCGCGTCGGGCTCTGTGCTGGCAGCTCAGAGCCTGGAGCCTGCTTCAGATTCTGTGTCTCCCTCTCTCTCTCTGCCTCTCCTCACTCCCGCTCTGTCTCTGTCTCTCTCTCAAAAATAAACATTAAAAATTTTAACTTAAAGGAGCATAACTGGAGTAATTAGAGACTAACTGCTACTAATGCAGGGCCAGACTACAATGGAGGTAAAAGAAAATGCAGCAGGAGAAGACAGGGAAGGATGGTGGACTACCTCCCAAAGTGGACGCTAAAGACATGGGACTCCCCAGGGCGCCCATTTTTTTCAAGGTAGGAATCAGACTTCATACTTAGGAGGAGAGTGGTGATATATTAACCAAGATGTGCCTTGTTAACTATTTTGTTCTCAGTTATTAGTACAAATTTGTGTTCATTACCTCTTGCTACATAACAAATTAGCCCACTATTTAATAACTACAAATAGCAAACATTCATTTAAGATAGAGCTTAGCTGGGTGTCTCTGGCTGAGGGTGTCTCATGAGATTGCTGTTGGACCATCAGCCAAGGCAGTAGATATCTCAAAGCTCGCTCGTGTAAATGTGGGCAGGCCTCAGCAGACCTCTGTAAAATCCAAGTGTATTCGCATTGTTGCAAGCAGACCTCAGCTCCTTGCCATGTGGAATTCTCCGCTGGCTGCCCGATGTCCTCATGACAGCTTGGATGAGAGAGAGACAGACAGAGAGAGAGTGTGTGTGTGTGCACCAGGGCATTCAAGATGGAAACCACAGTCTTTTTATAACAACCTTGGTTGTTATAACCGTCTACCTCTTTGGCACTACTCAACTTATTAAAAAGCAATTCGTAAGTTTGGCCTATACTCAAAGGGTGGGGATTATACAAGGGAATAAACACTGGGAGCAGGGGATCATTGGAGACCATCTAGAGGCTTCCTGCTGTAGAATTCTGGTGGACTCTTCATAAAAAGGTGTTCAGTAAATGAAACAGATAGGAGCAGGCTGCCTTTGGACTTGAACTTCACTCTTCCTGGGGCCTCCACCCTGCTGGCCTACTCCATCAGATTTTGGACTAACCAAGCCTCCACCTTCCATGAGTCAATTCCTTAAAATCTCTCTCTCTCTCTCTCTTCTTCTCTCTCTCTCTTTCTCCCTCTTCCCCCACACTCCCCCCACCCCCCACCCCTCCCTGTTGGTCCTGTTTCTCTGGACAAACCTAACTAATACTAGCGGTTGATGATATCTGGGTCCAGATGAGTGGTACCTGGAAGTTCATTTTACCGTTCTATCTACTTTTGAATGTTTGAAATTCCCCATAATAATAGAAATTAAAATCACAATAAAATCATCTCTCATGGTGATTCTTTTCTTTCCATGCCATTGTTTAGACATTTAGAGAAGCAAGATGATACTTGGTAAGTAGCAATACTGAGGAACGCATTCCCTGGGGAAGTTTGGCCTGTCACCGAGAAGGCCACAGCGGCACGTTGTCATGGTGCAAAGCACAGTGGTATTTTGTGGCCACCCACCTCGCAGGCTCAGGAAGTGATTTGTCACCCCCGTAGTCGTGGCTCTGCATCAGAGGGGCAGACTCACACAAACGAGGCTCGGGAGAGTGACAGCTACTTTGGCATGCCAGTATGCTCTCCTATAATGAGTCTGACTGACAAGGGTGTGGGACACATGAGTCTTTTTCCAGAAGCTTCTCTCCCTCTAGGCAAGAAGCTATGCAAAGTGTTTTATGAGCTTGGAATCAGAGCCCAGGAACTTGCTTTCCCTATGTTTACCGGCATGAGGCTAAGGTAGCCTTCCCCACAAGGTCAGGACGGGGAAGGCACCAGAGTCCGGGATAGGTGTCCCCATGCCCTGCCAGGGTGGCCTCTGGGCTGTCCTCTCCTTGTTACCAAATCAAGCCAAACACCCCCTATGGACAGGCATTTCCTTTCTTCAAATATGTTAATACCTTTAATCTAATTATTGTTGACTTTTGCATTCCAAGGAACCATTTTATCTCTTTAACGTGTCTTTGGATATTTTTGCTCATATCAGCATTGTCTTGACCTTTAAGATTCTAATGGGCATATCACTTCTTTCAGTCCCAAAATTTCAGTTATAGTGTGGCCATAACTACTATATGAATAAATATCTTCAACTACCCAAGGGTTTTCTCATCTGTCTCCTTCCCTCTTGGGTCCAGCTGCTCCAAACAGCAGAGACATTACTTTAAGATACTTTTTTGGGGGGGTGAGAGAGGGCACAAGTGAGCGAGGGGCAGAGAGAGAGGAGAGAGAGAATCCCACAAGGGGCTTAGAGGTTGTTGGGGGTGTGCAGAGAGAGAAGTGGGGCCACCCAAAGAAGGGCTCACGCTCACGTGAAGCAGGGCTTGTGCTCACCTGAAGCAGGGTTTGTGCCCACTTCAGTGGGACTCAAACTCACAAACCATGAGATCATGACCTGAGCCAAAGTCAGGTGCTTAACTGATCGAGCCACCCAGGCACCTTAAGATACTTTCTAATGGTTTCTTATGGCTTCCCAAAGTCATAATCTACCCTCTACCTATCTTTCTAGCTCTATTTTCCACTGGACAACTTCTGCTCCAGGAAAGCTGGTCTAGCTGACATCCGAAGAATACAGCCTGACCTGTTTCATTGTTGTATCCTTGCTTACACCATTCTTTCTGCATTAAAAAACTGAATTGTCACCTGTTTCTCAAGATACAGCTCAAATTCCACCTCCTTTTGAAATTATCTGATTATCCTAATCATAGGTGACAACTATTTTTTGTGGGAAAACTTAATTGTCAGGGGAGGCATCACTGGCTACAGCCTGTACAGTTGCACAGGAGTCCCATGCTTAAAAGGTCTCTACACTTGGTGTAATGCTCTGCTATTCCTGTCTTGAAATTCTTTTTTTTTGTTTCAATAAAGGAATGTCCAAAATATTTGTCAGAGATTCTAAAGAATGAATCACAGGGCCTTTAAAAAGAAATTAATATTTTGTACATTTTTATTTCATGTAATTGCTGGTAAATTTGAGATGATTTCCAGCCATCGTATTCTTTCTCCAAGCTTTGACCTAACTGGTTAGTGTTCCTTTAATCTCTTAACTTGAATTAAGTATTCACTCTTGCTTTGAATTAAGTATTTTATTATTCCATTGATCCCTGTATAAACTTTTTAGTTATAATCATACACAAATCTTTGTGTTTACACTAATGACCAAATCATGAATAATTAATAGAGTCTAGTAAACTATACCCTCAAATCCTAACACCTTCCAACAGTTTTAATTCTATTGTTACCCCTATAGACTTTTGTATTGCCCTTGTCACTCATTTTAATTTCCATGAGACATTACTAGTATGGCTTCACAAAACAATATTCCTTTATGTTTATCTGTGTATTAGCCTCTTTGTTCTTTTTGATTCCTTTCAGCGTTTTCAGTTCAATCTGAGATTATTTTCCTTTGGACTTAAGAATTCACTGTAGTCTTTTGGGGACTTGGGGGGCTCAGTGAGTTCTAAATTTTTGAAGAACTGTTTTCCAAAGTGGTTGCATCGGTTTACATTTCCACAAATAGTACCCAAGGGCTCCCTATTCTTCAAACCCTCACAACACTTGTTATGTGTTGTCTTTTGATAATAGCCATTCTAACAGGTGGGAAATGGTATCTCATTGTGGTTTTGATTTGAATTTCCCTGATGATGAGCAATGTTGAGTTCCTTTTCATATACCTGTTGGCCATTGGTATGTCTTCTTTGGGAAAATGTCTGTTTTGATCCTCTACCCATTTTTTAATCCAGTTATTTGGATTTTTGCTATTGAGATATATGAGTTCCTTATATAGTTTGGATATTAACCCCTGAGATGTATGGTTTGCAAATATTTTCTCCCATTCCATAGGTTGCCTTTTTGTTTTTGTTTATTATTTCTTTTGTTGTACAGATTTTTTTGGTTTGATAGAATCCTGCTAACATATTTTTGCTTTTTTGCTGTACTTTTGCTTTCAGATCCAAAAACCATTACCAAGACCAATGTCAAGGAGATTTTCCCCTACACTTTTTTTTCTAGAAGTTTTGTAGTTCCAGATCTCACATTTAAGTGTTTAGTCTATTACAAGTTAATGCTTGTGTACAGTGTGAGGTAAGATTGATTTCATTCTTTTGAAATTCTTAATCATTTTTGAACAAAGGTTAATAGATTGTCATCTTGTTCTGGGACCCACAAAATATGTAGCTGGATCTGATAACTGTGCCCACTGAGGAAAAAAACTTGGATCGCTGTTTTAGCTGACCCAGTCGTGCTCAGAACACAGGTATCTAATTTCTAACAGGGTTAGTAACTGTGTTACAAAATTATTCACTTCCTTTTCATTTCAATCAACTTAATCTACTGAATATTTATTAGGCTGGTTTTAAACAAGGAACCAATAGTTCCTTAATCCTCCCCCCCAAAAAACAATTACATTTTCAAAAGAACATGCCAAGTGAGCCTCTAACAGTTACATTCTAGTGGGAGACATTTCCGGTGGGGCATGATTGTGAGGCAGGCGAGCCTTGGGAGCGAGCGCACGGGAGTTTTAGGTCGGGGTAGTGAGGTTTAACAGACAGCCCTGAATTGTTCTGCTTTTTACAGCTCTTCCCTTCTCTTCACTTTAGGTATTTCTCTCCGTGGCTTATGGAAATAGCATGAGAGTTCTGCTTCTAGGAAGAACACATGACATTTGTTTAGTAAGACTGAATAGCCCGCCAGGACTGCCTGGGGCCTCTGAGTGTGGTGATACGATGGACTTTTTTTTCCCCCTTATTTTCCTTTTATTTTCAATTCTAGGGAAACAAGAAATGCATTTTCATGACTTTGATCTTATCTACCACAGCTCTTTGTACATTGGAGGCTCATGATAAATATTTTATGAATGAAATAAAAAGCTAATAGGGGCGCCTGGGTGACTCAGTCGGTTAAGCATCCGACTTTGGCTCAGGTCATGATCTCACGGTTCATGGGTTCAAGCCCCGCATCGGACTCTGTACTGACAGCTCGGAGCCTGGAGCCTGCTTCAGATTCTGTGTCTCCCTCTTTCTCTGCCCTTCCCCTGCTTGTGCTCTCTCTCTCTCATAAATAAGTAAATCAACATTTTTTTTAAAAAGCAGCTAATAGACCAAACTAGCCATAAGAAGAGTCACTCTTCCTTGAATCCCTAGGTACGTGCCAGGCCCTGGGCCAGCCTTCGGTGTGCATTATTCCAAGCAATAAACAATCACCACCTGAAAACCGTACCTTTACTTTGCAAATATTGACATGGACAGGTACCAGCTAGATGGTGACTATGTATAAGAATCATATGGGTTTCAGGGGCACCTGGGTGGCTCAGTCTATTGAGCATCCCGTTCTGGGTTTCAGCTCAGGTCATGTTGTGAGTTCAAGCCCTGCATCAGGCTCCATGCTGACAGTGAGGAGCCTGCTTGGGATTCTCTCTCTCCCTCTCTGCCCCTCCCTCCATCTCTCTCTCAAAAATAAATAAACTTAAAAAATTTCTTTTAAAAAATGGGGTGCCTGTGTGACTCAGTTGATTAAGCGTCCAACTTTGGCTCAGATCATGATCTTACGGTTTGTAGGTTGGAGCCCTGTGTCGGGTTCTGTGCTGACAGCTCAGAGCCTGCTTCAGATTCTATGTCTCCTTCTCTCTCTGCCCCTCTTGGCTCGCACTCTGTCTCTGTCTCTCTCTCTCAAAAGTAAAGAAACATTAAAAATTTTTTAATTAAAAAAATGAATCATGTGTTTCTGAACAGCTGCATATTTAATACTTTCAAAAACTGAGCTTAAAATCTCTAGATCGGAAGAGCACACGTAATTTTTTAATTAAAAAAATGAATCATGTGTTTCTGAACAGCTGCATATTTAATACTTTCAAAAACTGAGCTTAAAATCTCTCTGTTTCTATAAGTATAACATTAAACTTGTTACCTATTTTGAAACTAACACGGAGCTTGGATTTATAAGAATTGTACATTTCTATACCCATTTTTACTTAAAAGAATATTTTGCATTTTGACATTTCTGGACTTAATCAGAAGTTTAATGATCTTAAGAAGCAGAAGAATTGCTGAGGCGTGTGTAAAAATCTCGAGAAGCTAGACATGCTAGATGCCTCAGGGAAGAGATTGAGTATATCCCGTGGCTGAATGGAACCGCAGTGAGAATGAGGAAAGGGAACACCGAAGAAAAGAAAGAAAGAAACGCCATAGGAGTGAGCAAATACAGGTCCTGGATGTGAATGATGAAACATCTGTAGCCAATGTGGGGCACGTCAGGAAACCTGTTATAGATCTGAGAACTGTGACTAGAAACCAGCTCCCCAAGTGCAGAGGTATTGATTAACTATTAGATCATTTAGGATAGCAGACTACTCGGTTAAAGGCAGTTTCGCTGAAGCTCCTAGACAAGCCTTAGGACAGTATCACTATAAATGAGAAAATTGAGGGTCAAGATTAAATTGTCTGCTCTAATTCACACAGGTGGACGCAGCAGAAATGAATTTCAAGGCAAGGACTGTCCAAATCCGGGAGGGCCCCCTGCTCTCCATTCAGCAGTAGGTCACCTTTCTGATCAAAGGCCTGTAATTCACATTTACCAGCTCTAAATCGCGGCGTTAGCAGCAAATACCCTGCATTGGTGTTAGCGAGCGCAATCGTTAGAAGTGCCTCCCACAGAATGTAAACTAATGCAGCTGCTCTGGAAAACAGTGTGGAGGTTCCTCAAAAAATGAACACTAAAACTCCCCTATGACCCAGCAATAGCACTGCTAGGAATTTACCCAGGGACACAGGGGTGCTGATGCATAGGGGCACATGCACCCCAATGTTCCCAGGAGCACTTTCAACACTAGCCAAATCATGGGAAAAGCCTAAATGTCCATCAGCTGATGAAAGGATCAAGAAGATGTGGTTTATCTATACAATGGAACACTACATGGCAATGAGAAAGAATGAAATCTGGCCGCGTGTAGCAACATGGATGGAACTTGAGGGTGTTAATGCTGAGCGAAATAAGTCAGGCAGAGAAGGACAGATACCATATGTTTTCACTCATATGTGGAACAGGAGAAACTTAACAGAGGACCATGAGGGAAAGGTAGGGGGAAAAAGTAGTTAAGGAGAGGGAGGTAGACAAACCACAAGAAACTCTTAAATACTGAGAACAAACTGAGGGTAGATGGGGGTGGGGAGGAGGGGAAAATGGGTGATGGGCAGGGAGGAGGGCACTTGTTGGGATGAGCACTGGGTGTTATATGGAAACCAACTTGATAATAAACTATATATTTTTTTTAAAAGAAGAGGAAATGCCTCCCACAAAGCATAGTATGTGTGTGTAAGCAGGTGTGTAAGTGCATGTGTGTGTGTACTAACATGTTAGGTGGGACTTTTTAGCTTTAAAAGTAACTCTCTATAGCCTGTGACTTGAACAATGACACACGATCTAGCAAAAAGTCCTTTGCACCCAACTATTCCTCCTCTGTCATTCACTTCATTGAGCCCAGTCACCATCTGTAAATTTGTTTCTGATATCAGATTCCCACTAGAGTCTGTCCATAGCAGGTCAGAGAATGGAAGCAATGTCCTACAGTAAAGTATCAGGGTGCACGGGATGCTGGAGCTGGGAGATCATTTGGGAAGCCAGCTGGTTAGCCAATGGTATCGTTACTGCCCCATCTCAGTCTCCTATCCCAGCCTTCCTTCTGGGGGTTGGGGACACCCATTCCGAGCAAACAGGCGAGGCCAGAACCAAGTGCAAACATCTGTGCAGTGTCACTAACATCTGTGCGGTGACCCACTGTCCCCACGCGCTCAGATCTTAACAGTGGGATTCCTGCTAGATCTCCAGATCTGCACGCTATTTCCGAGTATTTTACGTGGACTGTGTCTCCCGGACAGCGGAAGAGAGAAGCGACTGAGTCGAAATGGAACAAAAACTGAAGCCAACCAATCAGCTAAGCAACCCAAACAAAAAGACATTCACTTTCATGCGTACTGTCAGCTAGCCTAACACCAAGGGAAAGCCTTATGTAAGAGAACCTCTCTGCCTTCACTTTATCTCCTTCCCCTGCTTGACTTTCCACCAGAGCGCTTACTGACGCACCTGGCAGGGTGTGTGTGTATTGTGGTTTATTGTCCTCCCCGCCCCCCACATACTGGCAGCTCTGAGGGAGCAGGGGCTCTCATCTCTAACCGTGGCGGAGACAAGGTGAGGGCTTAACACATTTGTTGTGATTGGAAAGGCACCGTCACACCCCTTGTTGTTAATTTCAAGGCCACCCTTGAGGTTCACTTTAACTGCATCTAGCTCAGAAAGTGAGAGAAGCAGTCTTGTGCCAGACCCAGGCCGACGCTGGGGGTCCATCCTAGACCCCACACATTCCATCCTCCAACTTGTGACGGTCACACATCTTCACCCCATTCCCCAGCGGCTCTCATACCTTCCTATGCCGGCAGTAATTTCATATTGGTTGACCCAGCGCTTAGTTGGGCCCTGAGTTATTGGAACATAAGGACAATCAAACTTTGACTAGAGAAAGAAACAAGGGTTATATTTATTGAGTGCTTATTGTGGGTGAAACATACAAAGTCCTTTGAGCTCCTTATCCAACTTAACATACACAACAAACCCATGACAACAGGTACTGTTATCACCCTCATTTTGCAGCTCAGGAAAGTGAGGCTGAAAAAGTTAACAAAATGTACCCGAGGTTACATGGGTTGTAAGTAACAGATCCATGGACAGCAAAGTCTGGGCTCCTAAGGAAGAAAGGAGAAGAAAAGAGCATGCGGACTGCATTTGTGTTTTGCTGAAACGTCAGAGTTGTGTCTAAGAAACTTCCAGTTTTTAAAAAATGAATTTTAAAACTTGTCAATGTGAGGGCCACCTGGGTGGCTCAGCTGGTGAAGTGTCCACCTTCAGCTCAGGTCATGATCTCACCGTCTGTGAGTTCGAGCCCCGTGCCTGGCTCTGTGCTGACATCTCAGAGCCTGGAGCCTGCTTCTGATTTTGTTTCCCTTGCTCTCTCTGCCCCTCCCCCGCTCATACTCATTCTCTCTCTCAAGAATAAACATTAAAGCAAAAACATGTCAAGGTGATAAAATGAGTTTGGGGCCAGAGAGTTTCTGAGTCACAGCAATGAAGTTACTAATTCCTTTAGTTAAAATCAAAGTACTTTAACTTACTAAGTGTATCATAACAACTAAATGTCAAGGAACAAACGCAGGCAGGATTCAACGGCGGTACTGTTGCCACCAGCCGTCCACCTCCCTGGCGTGGCAAGAGTGCAAACCCTAAACAGAGCAGCTCTGTTGCTCGGCTATGGGCTCTTTTTCCTCTAGAAAGTGCAGTCTTGTTAGAACCAAAATCCGTCTGCAAATGCAGCTCCAGTTCCGTCGCTGATCAGTTGCGTTCTCACCCAAGCGAGTGCTGGGAAGTCAGGCTAGAGAGGGAATAATGACTGGAGCCAGGCTCAGTGTTGGGGTTCTGGGATCTGCGGGCAGCCCGGTGTAGGGTGCCGCCTCTGAGGAAGCCTGCCGCAGGAAGGAGGCGGCCGGGAGGGAAGAGGGAGGCGTCAGTGGGGTTTTCAACGCCAGCTTTGTAGTTTGGGAGAAGCCGCTGTTTCACAGGCAGCTGGACTTTGTGACACGAGAGAAAATGATGTCATGCTTCCTTCTTCTGTTCTCCTAGTGCGGGTGGGTAGCTCCTCCCGGACGGGAGTCTTTGTCCTGTTTTCAACAGTGACTGTCCTGACCTTCACAAACCTCCATTCAGACACAAACCTCTCACCTAAAATATTTGGAGGTTGAAAATGACATGTTCTGGAGACCTGGAATGAAAGAAGCAGGCTCTTG